TATTAACAGATACAAGCGTGGGACCATCCAGTTTGCTTGATGTTGTTGAATGTCCAAAGCTGATTAATAAACCGTGGCCTCATACTACATTATATATTAAAAGAGGATAATACTCTTAATCAAGTAGAAAATCCAATGTGGCAATGTAAAATACATGTACACTGTAAATTTTTATTTCAAATGTTTACAAAAATTTTAAACGGATCTTACAAATCAGTGAATTATCGGTTCGAACAATGGTAAAAAAAAATACAATAAATAGTTAACGGCTCCAAAATTCTGTTGGCTGGCTTTCAATAATATCCAGTAAATAAAACCAAAAGGTTATGAGTTTATCCAGTGTTCTACGATCACAGACATTGGGATTTCTACACATCACACTATACCAGGAATATATATATATATATATATATATGATATACTATTATATCAATATATATATATAAATATTAATTATTATGCATATATATATATATATATAATATTATATATATAGTATATATAGATATATTATGAATTCCTATGATTACATTAATCAGCAGACCGAAAACTCATTGCAATAGAAGGGAAAGGCAGATACTGAAAGCTTCAACAAGAAATAAATCCTAAAAAACGTAGCGTACAATATAGAGCAGTGTAACAGTAATGGCCAGAAATCAATGCAATACAATGTGTCCTGCCTTAGGGGATGTCACAAGTGATGAATGCGGGCACTGTCGGTATTGGGATCTATACTGAAAACAGAAAATTAAACCACAAAAAAGTTTATTGAAATTCTAGAGAGATAAGAAGATGTTAACAATTATAACAATTAAATGTTCTTTATAATCATCATAATCTGGCACCTTGTCTGTTGGTACCTGTAGCTGTACAGTTATGAGTTGGATTATCTCCACAGCACTCCGGACACATCTATATGTGCTCAGATTCCCCCTCAGTGTCAGTCCTATGTCTATTACAAATCAAAGTAATGGCTGGGATTAATGTGGACAAGTCTTTTACACATCACAGCGATATCTGGGATTTAGATGGAACAGTATCACACATCACACTGATGGCTGGGATTAGGATAGAAAAGTCTATTACACATCACAGTGATGGCTAGGATTTATGTGGAAAAATCTATTAAACATCAAAGTGATGGCTAGGATTCATGTGGAAAAGTCTATTACACATCACAGTGATGGCTAGGATTCATGTGGAAAAGTCAATTACACATCAAAGTGATGGCTGGGATTTATGTGGAAAAATCTATTAAACATCAAAGTGATGGCTAGGATTAATGTGGAAAAGTCTATTACACATCACAGTGATGGCTGGGATTCATGTGGAAAAGTCTATTCACGTCCGGCTGTATATTTTTTATTTATATCTAGAGTTGGCCGTGGTCTATTACACATCACAGCGATATCTGGGATTTAGATGGAACAGTATCACACATCACTCCAGATCAGGCAGGGATTCATATGGACAAGACTTCCTATGCTGGCTGCTTCTCATGCTTGGCTGTACCGAATATATGTATTCGTGTACCATATTTTGTCCATCACAAGGTGAAATAAGGAATAGGACACAAGAACAGAAAATAATTACATGAGAAATGTGTTGTCTCCGCAAGGTCACTAGCAACACAAGAAAATACTGGGTTAAGAATACCAGCATAAGAGAGAGAGAGAGAGAGAGTCGGAATAAGACCATGTCTGGATTATACTGACCGATGAAAAATGAAATAGTTCAGCCATCTGGTGAGAATGCAGCTAAACCAAACTGCATATGATACCTTTCACAGTTGAACATATTGGAGGAAGGTGAGACAAAAACGGTGGATAAACGATGGATAAACGGTGTAGCCATAACCTGCAAAAAGCTGGAAAAAATTCATCACGCAAGCCACACCAGTAGTGAGAGACCAATTCATAAAACTATGACACTGGGTTACAACTTCTATCATTGAGATTACAAAAGAAGAAAGAATAAGACAAGATAAAGTGATTTCTCTTTTATCTTTCTCTATACTTCTTTTCAAAACTCTTTACAAATGTAAAGGGAAACTAGCTTTTCCCAAAGCAAAAATATGCAGTGTGAATACTATCAACTCTGTATATCCCACTGATAGTATCTTGTTCAACCCTCAGGATTGTCTTTTTTTGTTGTTGAGGTTAATATAAGTTGTCAGCATATATGTAGAAGTAATGCAGTGGCCAGATACTGACCTAGTGGTCATGGAGTACCACATCAGGTCAAATGTTGAAAACTGACCTTAGGCTCCAAAACTGACAGATCAACTTGTGTAGGAGGAAATCTTTTGAGAAGTCAGTGAACAGATTAGCCTGACTGCACACTGAAAGAGACCCTTCAAGGCTTTTGCTCTGTCACTGCACATTAAACATTCCAATGTGTGGCCAATCCTTCCTCCAGTACAACATCTAGCGCTACTGAATATTGCATTGAGCAGTTATTTCGAATGTCTTGTATCTTGGCATCAAAGATGTCGTAGACCTACTTCCCCACACTTCTTAGCCCGGTTCGCATAAGAAGCTGATCTTTTACCACCAGCCTTATTCATACAGGATGTGAGTCGTGAACTATCTCCCAGTCCTTAAAAAAGAGAATAGGGGCTTTTGAGCTGAAATGCTACAGAAAGATTCTCAGAATATCTTGGACAAAGAAGAGAAGAAATACCGACATCTTGAAAGATCTGAACATCAAGGAAGACTGATTAAAAAACAGCATCCTGTCTCGGAAGCTGAAATATTTTGGTCGTATCAAGCGTCACGACGGATTGGAAAAAAATAAAAGCAGAAGGCATGGTACCAGGAAGGAGGGGCAGAGGCCGACCAACACGAAGATATTACCAGGATATACGTGACTCCTTGAGTGTGAAAGTACATGAGACGGAAGAGCTGGCAAGAGACCGAGTTTATTTCAGGCAGACCGTGATGAGAGCGACGTTCTGCAAAGGACCTGCTATATGATGATAATGATGAGTTCATACACCGTTGACTTTGTCAGCTGTGTCCATATATTAGTTTTTTTTACCCCACTGGTATTAGTTAGCATTTTTTGACTGTTGTGGTTTTTGTAGGCAAATTTTACATTCAGTAGTTTGCCATTGCCCCTGAACGGTCAGCTCTCAGTACCACTGTCAAAACCAACGCAAGACAAATCGTCTGCACCTAGAATCGAGCCCGGCGCTCGCAACGCCTAAGCCACAGACGGCGACACCGGTATTAGTTAGTGCATTACTTGAAAACTGGTCTATTAGTTTATGACCTTTGGCATCGGCATGCCCAGATGTGTAGATCCAGCTGGCAATGGTGAGAGTGACTTGTGAACGCTGTCACCCCATTAGTCGTCATCTGGGGCTTAGGCGTTGTTGATGCCGGATTCGATCCCAACTGCAGGCGACCTTTCACCTTGTGTTGGTTTTGAGTGGTATCGAGAGCCGATCGTTCAGCGAGCAATGGCAAACTACTTACAGTTATATTTGCCTAGAAAAAAAAAACAGCAGCAGCAGTATCAACAACAACAACAACAACAGCAGCAGCAACAACAACATCAGCAGCAGCATAAACAGCCAACAACAGCAACAACAACAACAGCAACAACAACAACAACAGCAGCAGCAGCAACACACCCACACACACGCACAAACACAAATGCAGGGGGTCGGTTCTCATAAGTTCTGTAAAGGATACGAAACTAACTTTACCCATTTAAAGTACAGACTACCTGTTGCAATTTGTTTTAAGCAAGTTTGTGGAGTCTGATACGATTACCACATGCGAGACTACTTTCTATGATTCATTATTTCATATATGCGCATCTATTTAGCTCCAAAAACGTAAGATAGACTGAGAGAGGAATCCTAAAAATAACTTTCATTATGATTACTAGATAACAACTCTTTTGATGCCATGCAGTTCACCAAACAATCATTGGTTATCTGAGGTAAAATTTTCAATTTTTACATTTTTATTATCTGAGGTTAAATCTATTATTTTTTACTTTTTCTTTAAATTAAAATCTACTATTTTTTACTTTTCCTTCATCTGAAGTAAAATTTAGTAAATTTACATTTTCTTTATCTGAGGTAAAATGTACTATTTTTACTTTTTCTTTATCTGAGGTAAAAAATTTTTTTATAATTTTACATTTTCTTTATCTGATGTAAAATCTAATATTTTTACTTTTTCTTTATCTGAAGTAAAATTTAGTAATTTTACATTTTCTTTATTTGAGGTAAAATGTACTGTTTTTACTTTTTTTCTGTATCTGAGGTAAAATCAACTGTTTTTAATTTTTCTTTACCGGAGGTAAAATTTACAATTTTTACCTTGTCTAACTTTGACAGTTATTATACTGATTTTTTTTCAACGCCAAAGTGCTCTTGCAGCGCACGCCCACAAGAATCAGTTACCGCTATGAAAAGTCCACAATGCATACCTCTCAAACGGGAAAGATACGCAGCGGAAGTAGCTGAAGGTGAAGCTAGATTGCGTTAGTGTACTCTGATCAGTACAGTAAAATGAGAGTCAACACATCAGACGATGGGTGGGATTCATGTGGAAAAGTCTATTACACATCAAAGTGTAGGCTGGGATTCATGTGGAAAAGTCTATTACACATCAAATTGTAGGCTGGGATTCATGTGGAAAAGTCTATTACCCATCAAAGTGTAGGCTGGGATTCATGTGGAAAAGTCTATTACCCATCAAAGTGTAGGCTGGGATTCATGTGGAAAAGTCTATAACACATCACAATGATGGAGGGAATTCACATGGAAAAGTCTATTACATATCGCACGTTGCAAAGGACTGAAAGTATTAACAAATTCTATGTAAATGTAAGCTAAGCTTTTTCTGATCTTGACTCATTCAGACTCAAATGCTGGCTGTTTTAAAGAGGGAACTATTTTTTTATTGCTACTGAAAGTAATATCAATTTTGAAACATCTGACAGTACATTGACTGCTTAAGATACATATAAACATAATTTACCTTCAGTGGGACTTGGAGCACCTGAAATACGAAAGAAAAAATACCTTTAAATTAAGGTAATAACATTTTAAATTCATGTTTTCTCCCTTCCAGATTTTTTTAAATTTAACTAATTCTGCTATGGAAAATAACAGCCTCTGTACTGCAGTCGCTAGATACTTGCTTGCTGACTCAATAGTCTGGGATTTGAATCCACATCAATGTAGATTTTTAGAATTGACCTTGACTCGGACCCAGCTTTAAATAGTTATCAAGACATTACGTGGGAAGTAAAGTGGGTCTGTAAATATATAGGACAAGAAGTGCTTTTTCAATCTGAGTGCTGCAAAAGATCCTATTACTGCTACTCTTGCTCAAGTTATTTTCTCTAACAGAAACAAGTTGTCAGTAGTCGCTACAAAATCTATTACAGTAACACGGATGACAGATGATGTATCTAAATCAAAGGTGCTGGTACTGCGTACTGCTGCGTACCTCCCAAAAAAAGCTCTGCTGTTACTTAAGCAGTACTTAAATTATCATCATCAATCAGGTGCCATCTCCACAATAAAGTTTGACAGGAATGGATCTCCAGCACATTCTTATCTCTTGTCTTGGATGTAGGCTCTCTCAGGCAGCTGTTCTCTTGATGTTGTCCTTCCAACTGTATCGCTGTCTACTTCTTGCAATTGGCCTTTCCCTTTTAATAGCGTAATATGTCATTTAATGTGGCCAAACCATTTCAGTTTCCTCTTTAAAAAAAAAGTTTTTTGATGAATTCTCTTTTTATTCAGTCTTTCCAGAGCTGTGTATTTCATTCAGCGACAAGCGAACAGAGGTTTTTGAAGATATTTAACCCGGGGGGGGGGGGGGGCATAGGCCAACCGTGAACAGGTTGCAACTAGTACCACAAAGCAGAGCTGATACTGAGAACTCACCGGGGACCCAAAAATGGTTCGTCTTGTCAGACACTCCTCTTATCCAGAAAATAATTCCAGCAAGAAAAATTGCCTGGGATAAATAAAATCATCTTCACAAAAGAAATTTGTCACATCTGAGATTGCCAAAGAGTTGCAAGTAGGTGATCATCATGGGTCAGAGAACCGAGCTCCAGCGTAGAATGATCATGAGCTGGCAATAATCCACTGACCACTGTTTGGGCTTCAGCGAGCCGGACTCGTCCTACGAGCCATCAGATAAATAGCTCTGTTTTAAGCGGTGTACAATGTGTTATCACGTCGACTCAACCTTGGCCACTAAGGAATGAGACAAGAGTGTGGGAATATCCGAAGTGTAGTGATGCCTATTCCTGGTTGATTACTTCATTCAGTTCACTGATCAACTTCTGTGAGATCACCGGCTAGGCTGCTACCGATAGGTTTGATCACTCGCAAGACGTCAAAACTCTCACCTTGAAAAGTGGACCTACGGGGAAAATTTAGGATATCCTTTTCAATCTTCAAAGAAGTTATAATTGGGGCACCCACAAAGGCTACACTAGCCTGCTGCCGCTAGCAGTCTTGTGCAGATAAGGAATGTTAGGTACTGACATTTCACTGTGTCTTGCCAAGTGGATACTGTATAGTGTGTAGGCACATTTCCGTCCTGCCAGACGGAAGAGTTATACTGTCCTATATATTGAAAGATCACCCATGGTGTAGTGTCTAGACGCTCACCTGCGGATCGAAAGGTCGTGGGGTCAGGTCCTGACGAAGCCTAACTTTCTTCCAAAATGACCCTGGCTCCTAGGTCGACCCAGCCTTGAGGGGTACCAGGTACAGACCTGGGAAGTAAATGCGACCGGCGTGATGTCGACCACATCATCCACCAAGTGCCGATTGGTCTATAAAATATAGGTTTAACCCTATATGCCCAATACGCCTAAAGGCGTTAAAAAGGGTCCTTCACTTGTTACTTATACATAGGAAGGCTAGAGAATCACATCCCGTAGTTATGGGCAACTAGAACCAGGAATTAAGTTCCTTCTCTTCATTGCAGAAACCTGGATGGAATTTTAGACACCATCTGTTGCCCATGTAACAAGATCCCTTAGTCTTGTTTACTCCGAGGGAAAGATAACAATTCATTAGGAATAAAGCTTGCTACGGAAGCTGCCGGGACAGAAGAGCAGTGTTCTCTCCGCTCGCCTGTCGGAGCTTCCCCCCTAGGGAAGATCACGCAGGGGGTGTGGGCTGGTCCGGGTGACGTCACTTAGGGGTTGTGGGCCGGTCCGGGTGTCGTCAGGGGGTATGGGCCGGTCCGGGTGGCATCACTTAGTTGGTGTTGGCCGGTCCGGGTGTCGTCACTTAGGGGGTGTGGGCCGGTCCAGATGTCGTCACTTAAGGGATGTGGGCCTGTCCGGGTATCGTCTATTAGGATGTGTGGGCCGGTCCGGGTGTCGTCACTTAGGGGGAGAGAGGGTGACCAAATGGCAAAGAATAATTGTGTTTAACATAAAAACAAGTGTGTGAATGTGTATATGTGTGTGTGTGGGGGGAGGGGGGGGGGATTAAGATGAGACAGGAAACTGTCCACACTGGATGCCACCTGACTCAGCTTTGTCACTTCTTACCAGCAGCCAATCAAGACTATGGGTTTGATCTGGCTTGTCATAACAGTGAGTTTTCAATTTGCATGTACTCGTACTAGCAGTAAGCCACTAGCACAATGGGGGATACAGTATCAGGTTTGGCGTAGCCATCCAATACGGTGTTACCATGGAACCGGTAGAATCGACTCCTATTTACAGTAGCAGCTTCTTTTTCTGCCTTTCTAACCCCCCAGTGGAGCATAGGCCCTCAACAAACTCACTACGTGTCGTTCTATTCTTTGCTATCGCATGCAGCTCTCCACACGTCCTCCCTATCTTTTAACTTTACTCTCTAGCTTCCTTCTCCATGTGTTTTATGGTCTTCCTTTCTCCCGGTGCAAAGACATCTCAGGTTTTCTCAACATGTGTCCAATCCAACGCCACCGTCTTTTCTTCACCTATTGGTCCACTGTAACTTGTTTAGTTCTTCCACATAGCTCTACATTAGTTGTAGTGGAATTTGCATGTTTTCACAAGCTGTTCTTTTCCTCCGTACAAGGTGTTCCACTTGTCTGGTCTCGGAGGGAGTAGCGTTCTTCTCGTCTCACTGAGTTTTGGGCACTCAAAGAGATGGTGTTCAACAGTTTCGTAGGGGTAGTTACATAGCTGGCACTCTGGGGAGTGTTGTGGCTGTATTCTGTTTAGGTGTCCATTGAGTGGAGTATGTTGCGTTCTAAGTCTGAAGATGGTGGCCTGGTCCCTTCTTGTTAGATGGTAGCTCTACATTAGTAAAAGGCAAAGGTGAAGCTGAGAGGATTGACTTCATCCCACCGGATTCTATTCCATGTGGCTCCGTCTCTCTCCGCAGAAAAGCTAGCTGCCTGCACAGAGCGTCCCACAGAGCACGACTTTCGGAGTTACGGCGACGATCCCACGGATCTCCGTAAATATAGCACTCATGAATTGATTTGCGCCGCCGTGAAACGAACCCATGACCTTAATAGCAGGAGGAAAACGGCTTGTCTACGGAGATCCCGCCGCTCAACATCAGTGAGTCTATGATACCATTTAATTCCCTCTATTCTGCGCAGTCACCGGTCAATGAATGTTTGTAGTTTATTAGTAATAAGTCATATCGATATAACTGCCATTAGCATGTAATGAAGTACACAAATAATTACTAAAATAATAATAAATAATCTTTTCAACCTGAATACACAAACATTACAGTCTATTGTTGTTACATTGTACGTGTAACCATGGAAGTCTTAGATTACCCCCGAGATCTATTTGTTCGGGAGAGAAGAGTTAGACGGTTTTATAAAATCACTAAATATTCAAACAGTAACAACATTTTAAAAATTTAGATCAAGAGCATGTACTTATGTGTACCTAGAAAAAAAGGACCTGGTCTTCGAGATTCCAAGTAGCTATGAATCTCACTGTGGAGATGGAAAGAAGAAATCAGACTTTCGAATGTAAATGCTACAGACGCATTTTGAGTTCAGTTGAGTTGAGTCTAGAATTGACAATCAGGGCATTCCCATGTGTGCTAGATGCAATTTACTAATTAGTTATTTAGAACACAAAACTAATTAACATGTCAGAGACAAAATATACAAATTTGCGGGACATCAGGAGCCTCTCTTGGCAGTGGTGAAACGTCGCAAGCTAACTTGGTTTGGGCACGTGGTGAGGCATGATTGGACTGCAAAAAACTGTATTTAAATGAACATTGGGGGGTAGTCGAAGAAGAGGACGGCAAAGAAGAACTGGAAAGACAGCATCAAGAAATGGACAGGACTAAGTTAACATACACTTATTCATCAAGTAGAAGACAGAGAAAGATGGCGGGTTTTATATGCTAGTGCTTCCATCAATACACCTCCATGACCCTAATGGGTCAAGGGTTATGTTATGTATGTTATATGGGTCAAGGGTTATGTTATGTTATGGGTCAAGGATTGTACTATGTTATGAATATCAGTCATTAAACAGTTTTTTTAAAAGTCCATTAAAAAAATCAAATGGAAAGGAAAGGACCATTGTCAGGCCAGTGACGTATCAGGCATACATTGGCTCATATTTTTTATTGACCAATGGGTGGTGCGATCAGCATCATGACATCCACGTTTACTTCCCAGAATGCTTTCTGGTACCCATTTTAGGCTGAGTTGACCTGGTAGCTATGGTTATCTTTGAAAACAAATATCTTCCTTGATGCCGATTCGAACCCAAGATCTTTAAGCCAGCAGGTGATGCATCTAGCTGCTACACTCTGAGGCTTCCATTCCAGTCATATATGAATAAACAGGGAAACACTACAAGCACAGAGACGTTAGTTGTGAATCTTACATTTTGAATTTGCAAATTGTTTTCTGATCTTCTCTAGCTCAGCAGACATCTTCTCCACTTGCTGATGTTCTGTGCGTTGACACAATGACAAGGTTTTCTCCAGACATTCAATGACCATTGGAAGTGCACTGTCAATAGAGTTTCATTCAATTAAGTTAAATGACATTATGAACAAGTTTACTAACAGTGACCAATTTTACAAGTTGACCAACAAAAAAAAACTTCACAAGAGAAGTGAAAGGTTTGGTAAGGACAGTGGAAAAAAAAAGTGAAAAAGAGTGAAAGATTTGACAAGTGCAGTGAAAGAGTTGACAAGTACAGTGAAAGAGTTGACAAGTGCAGTGAAAGAGTTGACAAGTGCAGTGAAAGAGTTGACAAGTACAGTGAAAGAGTTGACAAGTACAGTGAAAGAGTTGACAAGTGCAGTGAAAGAGTTGACAAGTGCAGTGAAAGAGTTGACAAGTACAGTGAAAGAGTTGACAAGTGCAGTGAAAGAGTTGACAAGTACAGTGAAAGATTTGACAAGTGCAGTGAAAGAGTTGACAAGTACAGTGAAAGAGTTGAAAAGTGCAGTGAAAGAGTTGACAAGTACAATGAAAAAGTTGAAAATGTACAGTGAAAGAGTTGACAAGTACAGTGAAAGAGTTGACAAGTACAGTAAAACAGATGACAAGTACAGTGAAAGATTTGACAAGTACAGTGAAAGAGTTGACAAGTATAGTAAAAGAGTTGTCAAGCAAAATGAAAGACATGACAAATTGACCAACAAATTTGAACTCTTCGCTTGCTGCTGAAGATGGGGACAAAGCGCTTATTGGGGAGTCCCGAGAGCTGGGATGTCGTTTCTTAATTTAACATTCAACATTCAATTGATCGAGATTGAAAAAGCTGGTACTTCTTACAGTAAGAGAGTTTACGTGGCGAAATTGTAGGCTTTTTGCCTTGTGATTTGAAGATTGAGAGATCGTCATTTGATTTGTGAGTACATGTGTTTTAGAGATCCCATAGGGTCACTGTTAGAGCTATGGGATTAGTGCTTGGTGTGACGCTTACAGTAGAAGAACAGCCATAGTGGAGAGATACTAGAATCTCTCATTTGGCTTTTAAACATCTTTCATTTCTAATAGCGGACATTCAATAACCTGAAACGAGAAGTAAAGTGTCACAATCAAGTGTCTTACAAAGCGATTTTGTTCTTTAAACGGGTATCTGATCTCTCTGTTGTTTGGCACTACCACTCTCAGTCGCCTCCTTGCTTCTTTGCCAAGACTTCTAGCCGTTTCTTTTGTCTCCTTCTAATAGCCACGAGACGAGGGAGGTGGATCAGAAGAAGAAGATGTTAAGAAGAAGAAGAAGAAGAAGAAGAAGAGAAGAAGAAGAAGAAGAAGAAGAAGAAGAAGAGAAGAAGAAGAAGAAGAAGAGAAGAAGAAAGAAGAAGAAGAAGAAGAAGAAGAAGAAGAAGAAAAAGAAAAAGAAGAAGAAGAAGAAGAAGAAGAAGAAGAAGAAGAAGAAGAAGAAGAAGAAGAAGAAGAAGAAGAAGAAGAAGAAGAAGAAGAAGAAGAGGGGGAGGATACGGAAAAAAAGAAGTGGTAGTAGCAGTTATAGTGGTGGTAGTGAGTAGTAGTAGTTGTTGTTGTAGCAGCATTAGTAGCTGTTTTTACTGTTGTTATAATAGTAGTAGTAGACGAATAAGATGACGATGAAGAAGTAGACTAATTAGTAAAGAAGTAGCAGCAACAACAGTAGACTAAGATTAAGACGAAGAAGAAGTATACCAATTAGTGGTAGTAGTAGTAGTAGTAGCAGAAGCAGTAGCAGCAACAACAGTAGACTAAGATTAAGACGAAGAAGAAGTATACCAATTAGTGGTAGTAGTAGTAGTAGTAGCAGAAGCAGTAGCAGCAACAACAGTAGACTAAGATTAAGACGAAGAAGAAGTATACCAATTAGTGGTAGTAGTAGTAGTAGTAGCAGAAGCAGTAGCAGCAACAACAGTAGACTAAGATTAAGACGAAGAAGAAGTATACCAATTAGTGGTAGTAGTAGTAGTAGCAGAAGCAGTAGCAGCAACAGCAGCAGCAGTTATAGTCACAGACAGAACAGTGCGCTTGAGTGCGCCCTAATTGTATGACTTATATAGCACTGCTCCTGTAGGCCAGATTTAATCGACCTGACGGGCAAAATCAAGGAAATCTTATAAAAAAAATCCAGCCACATTTTGTTGCGTCTGGTGCGAAAAAAATACCTTTTTTGCATAGCATTGTCTGTTATTATTACTAGGGCTGTACCGAATATTCGCTTCGTATTCGCTTCGGGGCCGAATAGTGGACCTAATAACTATTCGGTATTCGGCCGAATAGTTGCGGTCGGGCCAAATACGAATAGTGGTTACCTTACACCCGTTTCTGGACTAGTAGAAAATAAACATATCAAGATTTCCCACCTTGGTTCATACTGTCAAGCGTTATCTTTGTGCACCACCTACGAGCGTACCAAGTGAGCGTCTGTTTAGTACAGCTGGAAATACCTTCAGTGAGACAAGAAGCTGCCTGAATGCTGACAACATGGAACGATTTTTTTTTTTTTTTTTTTGAAAGCTAATGTCGCTTTCATGGATTAACTAAGCTGTCAGTGACAATTTACAAGTTTAGTTACTAGTTATAAAATTAAGAATACTTTCAATCCTATGTATTAGTTACCACAGACTGGCTGACTGAAGGATGCAAAACATGAAATGTTTATAAATGTTTACTATTCTGTACTACATTTTGTGAAGTAAAATGTCAGAGTACATTTGACATTATGAGTGTTTTCTTGTTAGATCTATTTCATAAACGAAAGTGGAAGAATGAGCCTCGGTTTGAATAGTGGGAAGACAGAAGTAATCCTGGTATCAAAGAAAATAATTATTCCTAAATGTGTAATAAAAGTCAATGGTTTTATTTTGGGACAAATACAAAAATTTAAGTATCTGGGCACATGGATAACATCAGATGGAAGATGCATTACTGAAATAAGAAACATAATAGGACAGACAAAAACTGCATTTGATAAAATGAAGAACATCTTATGCAATATATCTTTGTCATTGAAGGTTAGAAAAAGAATTCTTGCTTGCTACATACATCCAGTTTTAACATATGGCTGTAAGTCCTGGACAATCGGTAGGCAGGCCAAACAATTTCTTAGAGGCCTCAGAGATGTGGTTTTACAGAACAATGCTTAAAATACCTTGGACAGCCCAAAAAAAAAAAAAAAAAAAGCAATCAAGTGGTTTTGATAGAGGCGGGAGCCCGAAGACAACTACTTACATACATCAGAACGAGACAGTCATCATTTTTCGGCCATGTTAAAAGATAAGGGAAGATGTGGTGACCACTGGAAAGATATGTGGAAGGAGGGATAGAGGAAGACAGCGAGAGACGATTCTTGACAGTCTTGTTGCATGGCATGGAGGTGTGTCAGCACACGAACTAATACATGCTACAGGAGATCGCAGATTGTGGCGAGGCATAATCGTCCATGCCAGTCGGCAAAGCACCTGATGATGATGATTCACTATTCGTATTCGGCCGAATTGTTGGTCCAGCTATTCGTATTCGGCCGAATAGTGAAAATCACTATTCGGTACAGCCCTAATTATTACTGATTGTAAAAATGTTGAAGACCACTGATTAAGTGACTATGATTTACAGGAGGGCTTTTCAACTAAGTTTACTGAGGGACCAAAATGTTGAAAACAGAGATCGTCACCGGTCAGAGACCCAAACCTCCAGCGTAGGAAGTGCATTAATACAATTAAACTGGCAATGATCAGCGGGTCACTTGCTAGGCCCCGAGGGCCAGAGTTGACAAGCCATGATTTACAGAATCCACTCACTTGCACACGCTTTCCTCATCGTTCTGGTCGGAATTTCTTTGGAATTCACTTGTAATACAGGATGTGAACTGTTCGGCACATTTCTTGACCGTGAGCGTTGTCATCTGCGTTGTTGTGAAAACGGGACCTGGGGAAGACACAGAAACGTTCTAAAAACAGTATGCCATAACAAGAGCAGTCGGAGCACTTTGGTTGGCCTGCCGGCCGATGGTTTTGACTTCAAGGCAGATTTAAAAAAACTTGACCTGGGCTTCCATGTCGACCTGGCCTAAAATGGGTACCAGGGAAGTTAAAGAGTCATCGTGTGTATATGTGCGTGTATGTGTGTGTGTGTGTGTGTGTGTGTGGAAGGGGAGGAGCAGTGGGTGAGGGGGGGGGGGGGGGGTCACTGTGGCGTAGTCGTACAGACGGTTTGATTCGCACTCTGAAGGTCTCCTGTTTCGTTTCACGGAATTCCAGAGAAATTTGACTAAAAAGCTCAACAAAATGGGAAAGAGGGAAACGTGCACAAAACAACACAACGTAATGTTTCGGCCAGGCAGCCTTTTTCAAACATAAGTGAACTACACAAACGAGGAATGGAGAGTATATAGATCTCTAAGGAGTGACGTGAGCGACGTTTAAAAAAAATGTGATGCGGAATAAATGAAATAAAATAAAATAAACGATGGCTAAAAAATATAGTCTCAATACTGGGAATAAAAGAAATACAAGTGTTAATGATACATAAATGATACTGACAAGAAATAGAATAAAGTAATAATATGAAATAAAATAATTAACATTTAAAATGTGATAAGATTAGAACTATTTAGATGAAAGAATGTTGGATATTGATACCACTTGGACTAAGAACGCCAAGGCTGTGGATAAGGCGATTTTCCAAAGCGAGGCGGGTAGTATGATCGCCAGAGCAAGATTTTAATGATGTGACAGATATGTCATCTTTACCGCTGTGGTCAGGGCTATTAAAATGAAGAGGGGTTGGTTTGAGTGTCTGCTTGTCGATATCGGAGAGGTGTTCCCGTACATGATCAGCTAGCTTCCTGTCAGTCTCCCCAATGTATGCCATGCTGCATCGTTTGCAGATAATTGCATAAATTACGTTGCGGGATTCGCAAGTAAAAGGTTCCCTAATTTGAAAAGAACCATTAGGGAAACTGACCGAAGAAGTCTGGACAACGAAAGGACATGTCTTGCAGGTGCTGCTTTGAGCACTGAGTAGTCCCAAAAGGAAGTGCTGTGTGGATCGGTGGGAGTCGGCTTCGGACAAGTATGTCTTTAAGGTTGCGGTCTCGTCTATAAACGAATCTAGGTTTTTCACTAAAGATAATCTTGGTGTCCGGATCAGAGCTGAGGATGTCCAAATGACTAAAGAATACTTTGGAAGCAACTACATTGTTAGGGTGAAAAGTCAAAATCAATTCAGGTCCATCATTGGTGGAGTTACGTTTGGTAGGAAAAGCATCTCTCCTGGTGATTGCTAAAACTTTTGTTTAGAGCCCCTTGTAGAATGTGTTCCGGATAGAAACGGGCACGGAAGAATTCAAGAAGTTCAACTGATTTATCAAAGAAGTCAGAACCATCAGAGCACAACCTGCGCAATCGAAGGAGCTGTGAATATGGAATAGAATTTTTACACGGTAGTGGGTGAGAAGACGTATAGAGGAGATAACTGTGAGAATCCGTGGGTTTGTAGTAGGCTGTGGTTTTCAGACACGGGAAATCGATGCTAATCGTGATGATAAGAAAGCTAACTGAAGTGGTGGAGATCAGTGAGGTGGATTTGATAGCCGGATTGAAATTGTTGATGTAAGTAATAAATTGGTCGAGCTCAACCATGGACATTTCGGCGATACCAACGCCATTATCTATGTATCTCCTATACACCTCCTGAAACTTGATAAACTGACCTCGTATTCCAGGTGGCCCATAAAGAGGCAAGCGTAACTAGGACCCATCTTGGTGCCAATCGCGACCCCACTGATCTGGTCAAAATACTCACCATTAAACTCAAAAGAGTTTAGGGTCAGTACCAGTTTAGCAAGGCGTTCAAGAACTGAAGTAGGGATGATCGGGTTGGACTTTCTGTCCAAAAAGAACTGGAGTGCTCTAAGACTTTTAGAGTGAGGGATAGACGGATAGAGGGAGCATACGTCTATCAGGAAAAGATGATAGGTTTTACCGGGAAGTAGTCTGATGGATTCGAAAATCTTGAGGGCATGGTTAGTGTCCTTGACAAATAAAGGGAGACTGGTGACAATTGGTTGGAAAATACTATCTAAAAATTCAGAAAAATACACCGTGGGACATGAGCATGAAGATACAATGGGACGTCCAGGGTTGTTGGGCTTATGGATCTTAGGCAGCAAGTACATACACGGTTTGCCAAGTTAGCTGTAAAAAAAAAAACACGCATATTGTTGGCCTGCTTAGGAAAAGTACCCTGTGAAATAAATGATTGTAACGTGTCCTTGACTTTCTTTTTGTTGGAGACTGTGGGGTCGTCCCTTCTGGCGGAATAGAAAACGGGGTTTCCGAGTTGGGTAATGGCTTCCTCAATATAAAGATCCTTCCTCCAAACCACTGCAGCGCTTCCTTTGTCAGCTGTTTCACGAGCGCGTCGTTAAGTTCACAGGTGCAGTTTAGCGGAGATCCCCGAAGATTGTCTTTAGAGCCTGCAGCCGTCTAGCTGTTGCGCTGAGAGAGACTGAGCCGTACTGGATAAAACCCGATGCAATGAAGTTAATTCTCTCGACTTGAACTTTAACATAACCCGTCTTGTGCAGATTTGTCTACAAAATATGTCCCTAACACCACGTGCCGGGTGCCCCTCACTGGATGATAATGTTCCTTTACAGAGTCATCACGAATGTTTGCTGGAATTTAAAAGTGTTATTATAAACAGACAGAAGGAAAACATTCCCAGCGGAAATGCAATGTTTACGTCCCATGCTAGGTGTAACGAGAAAAGATTCACTTAGGTATGGTGATATCAGGAAAAGAGTCGGCACAGAACTACTACTGAACTTTATAGGTAGACAACAAAAAATGGTTTGACCATGTAACAAGATTGGCTACATTTGGGGCACCACAGAGATCAATTTTATACAGATACAACCGTAACAGATCCAGAGGTAGACTACGCAGAATATGGACCGGAGAAATATCTGACACACTGAAAAGTATTTTATTTGAAGCGAACAGAAGGGTCCGTTTCAGAGATTTATTCATGCCCTGACGCTGCAAGGCATTCCAGGAGTAGAGAAAAGGAGAAAAAGATAATAATTTAAAAAATTCGGCAAAGGTTTATTTTTCGGTCAGCCTCTAGTCGGAGTCAGTTTCAGGCATCCTAGAGTGAAAGGCAGCTTGCGGTCAATATGGCCCTTCAAGTAAACAGTTAAGTTAGTTGTGTGTCCTTTACAGGACGTTGCAGAATCAACCACAGTATTTTCTGGCTGTTGTGGTTTTTCTAGGCAAAATTTACGTTCAGTGGTGTGCCACTGTGACAAGATACAGATAATAGTCTGAAATGGTTAGGGCATATTGAGAGAATGTCAGATGACAGAGAAGTAAAAACTGTATTCACAAGGGAGACAAAGAAGACGATGCAGAGATAATATCCAGACAGACCTGCAAACAGTTGGTGTTACCAACTGGAAAGAAAGGGCCAACCAGAGAGATGAGTGGAGGCGGGCGATATCTGCAGCAATGAACCTCAAGAGCTTCGGAATGCTGAAGAAGAAGAAGAAGTGTGTTACTGCCTTTCCACGGTCAGCTCTCAGTACGATTGTCGAAACCAAAGCAAGACAAATCGTTCGCAGCTGGGATCGAACCCGTTAACCCGGCATTACGAAACGCGTTCGCAACGCCTAAGCGACAGACGCCGACCAAGTGGACAAAGAGCCTACGTGATACAGATATACGATAACAGATCAAGAAGCCGACTACGCAGAAGAAGGACCGCGGAAATAACGGAAACACTGAAAACTATGGTCGAAGCGAACAAAAGGGCCCGTTACAGGGATCTCTTCTTGCTCTGACGCAGCGAGGCATTTCTGGAGAAGAGAATGTTGAATTTTGAATGAACATCATAGCACTCGGGACACTCCCATAATTGCTCCGTCCCCATCTTCAGAAGCAAGCGAAGAATTTCAGTTCCAATGGTTCCAGTAGCTGCCTGATTGTACATCCGTGTCTCGCCTTTCCCTTGAGTGTTGAGCATCGGCCCGATCCCGTGATAACTTCTCGCAACGACTTTCTTCTCAGACCGTAACGATCTATCTGTGCCTCGGCACTGTTAACTCCTGAAAGGCTCTCACAACATCTAGCTAGTAAGTCATACTCAATTCCCCACCAAGTGGTGCCTAACTGGCCATTCTATCTGCCTGCTTATTTCACAACACACCGCCTTTACCTGTCGAAAATATCCAAAGGATGCTAACTACCCGGGACCTCTGCACGGCCATTCTGCATGTAGCATGCACGTCTCCACTATTCTCAACATGCTATGTGAGTCAGTTCCAAGTAGAGAAAAGAAGAAAAATAAGATTATTAAGCAACTATTTAATTATTATACAAGTATGGCGCCTTAAAATATTGAGACAAGTTTAGATTTGTGTGACTTTATCTTGAAACGGCGCTGAGTAGAGAAGAAACAGCCAGCATCTTAAAGAGAGGGTCCGCTGCAGCAGGTGCTACTGGAACAGTGGACACGATTCCAGAGACGTGGCAAAAGACTGAATACCGTCTCACCAGGGCTGTAAACGGCATTCTTATTGAAATGGGTTGAGTTTAGTTGAGTCAAGAATTGACATCACAGTACTTGAGTTATTCCCATGCCTGCTCCATCCTCATCTTCAGCAGCCAGCGTAGAGTTCCAATACTGATTGTAGCGGTCACAATCTGGTTATATATCTGTCTTGCCTTTCCTCTGAGTGAAGTGAGCCGGCCAGACCCTCTGGTTACACCCAGGTGCATCATTCTCTCTAGGCCATAATAATCTTGTTTCTCTACTGATTCTGTTGCTTGTTCCCAAAGGGTCTTGACCACATCAGCATTGTCATGTTTTAATTGACCACCTAATGGTGCCGATCCAGCCAATGTGTCTGTCTGTTCATTATCCACTACGCCGGCATGGCCTGGAGAAAAGATCCAAAGTATGCTCACTACCCAGGACCTTCCCAGTGAAGCTTGCCACTCTGCTCGAAAAATCCCTGTCTTCACCTTTCTCAGCATGCATTCAGAGTCTGTTACAATTACGACATTTGCATGAATCTTGTTCTATAGCTACCGGAGAGCTGCAGTTACCGCCTCCACCTCCATCCCCATGCTAGATGTTGCAATGTCGTATGCTATGCTGTCTTGCACTAAAGATTTTTTATTGGCTTTCACTACGAACCCCCAGGCACTTATTTCTCTCTCCTCTCAGCCCTGAACCATCTGTATAGATAATCAGATCACCTTGGCGTGAATTGTCGTGAATCAACTGTTGGACTTCCATCCCCTAGCACTCGTTGACCCACTCTCTGCGCTCCCGGTCAAATGTGATCATAACCCTATACAGGTCGCTTCTTGCCGAATTTTTTTCAGCATGCATGCTTGTCTTATTATGTCTTTATCTTGAGCCATCCACGATTTTCCCCTTTTCAGCTTCTGGCCCCTACCTTACCTTATTGAAATTTACGGAGGTAAGTCAAAACCTAAACATTTTTAGCCATTTTAAGCACAAGTGTATATTTATTAAATACTCGTTTTATGGTATCTAGTCTCGGGAGGTGAAATATTTTTTGTCATATCAAGCGCCATGGCGAATTGAAAAAAAAATAAGAGAAGGCGTGGTACCAGGAAGGTGGGGCAGGGGCCGATAAATACGAAGATGAACATAGAATATAAGTGTCTACTTGAATATGAAATTACACAAGGCGGGAGAGCTGGTGAGAGACCGAGTTTCTTTCAGGCAGACCGTGATGCAAAATACTTGCAACTTGATGATGACGTCTTTCGTAACAGTTTAAAATATCGGCAATCATTCTCGGTGACCCTATAAAAAAAAAATAATGAGAACAAGAGAAAATACACAGGACCACACACAGTACTACTTACAATTTTTCGTTAACTCTTTAAAATTTCGAATGGCGTCTGTATTGGTGGTTGACATTAACTCATCGTCACACTCGGAATTTTCCTTCTCCGAGCATTCTACAATACTCGGCGCTAATCTGTGGACAGAACAGAAAAATTAAGGTCATTGTTG